GCCGAGCCAGTAATTTTTTTTTTATCAAGATACATACATGTGTTTTTTAGTTATAATGCTGTTGCACAGTTAACAGACTACAGTCCAGTGTAAACATAATTTATTTATTTATTTTTTAGACACAGTCTAACTGTGTCACCCTTGGTAGAGTGCCATGGCATCACAGCTCACCGCAACCTCAAACTCTTGGGCTTAAGCAATTCTCTTGCCTCGGACTCCCAAGTAGCTGGGACTACAGGTACCTGTCACAATGCCTGGCTATTTTTTGGTTGCAATTGTCATTGTTGTTTAGCAGGCCTGGGCTGGGCTTGAACCCACTAGTGCCTATGGCCAGCGCCCTACTTGCTGACCTATGGGTGCTGAGTCATAAACATAATTTTTATATGCACTAGGAAACAAAAAAATTTGTGTGATTTACTTTATCGCAGTCATCTAGCACTAAACCTGGAACATCTATGAGGTATGCATATATATATGTTTTATACAGGGAGAAAAGCAGGGGGACAAAGGAAATTGCAGAGTGCATGTCTAAGACTATAACTTTGCATGGCCGGTTGATGAGGGAACAACAATGACAGAGGGACTACAAGAGAATCTTGGGACTTTCTAGGTATGAGGTTATAAAGTATGAGAAATAGAAATAAAGCATGAGGTTAAGTTTGGACTCAAAAAGAATTTCATTATGGCTAAAGAACAAATAATCAAATAGCTGTGTACACTATTTGCAAGGCTCACTCACTTGCATCTTCCATGTGTGAGAGAGGGAAGAAGAGGAACTCTCTCTCAACTGTAAGAAAGGGTATCAAGCCCACTGATGCCTGTGTGTGTGTGTGTGCACACAGACACGCATGTCCCTCAATCAAGCCTCAATCAAGCACTGGCTTCTTATTCAGAAACCTGAAAAGGGAGGGAAAATTAAATCATTGCTTCACCATCATACATACCTGACTCAGGCCAAAGCTCACAGAGGGTGAGGAATCCATCACAGGGTCATCTAAGGAGTCCAGAGAGGAACGCACCTGCAGAAAGGATAGGCCAAAGGACTGGTAACGTGTGAAGGGCTGGGAGCAGGTCAGGCGAAGTCGATCCCATGACTCTTTTGAGGCTGGAGCCAGGAAATCATCTCAAAGAAAAAAAGAGAAAAAAGTGAAGACTAAAGGAATTGCATAAAAGGGAGGGGGAGCAGAAGACAATGTCAAACTCAGGAAGGAAAAGACAGGGACTATATCAACAAAAGGAAGGACAGATGTAATCAGTAAATGTCCCTCAGGCTTTGGTGCTCAAGTATTGCCAGGTAGGCCAGTTGGAGACTCTCAAATCTCATCCCTTGCCATTCCAGCATCACTCCTTTGTCATGATTCCACACTATTTCCAGCATCAGTATCTCTTCATTCTATACCTCTCCAGTGGCCTCATAAATATCTCATTTGAATGGGAGGTACTTGTAGAGCTGGGGCCTGGGGAGACCATTTGCCTAGAAGATTAGCTGAGATATATCGACCCTTTCTAGTCCACAAGATCTTAACCACCACGTGCCTTACACACTGACATTCCAATATCATAAATCCTTTACCTCAATTCCTAACACTATCCAGTCAGTACTTCAACCCTTCCACCTTATATGCCCCTCCAATATCACTCTTCCTTTATAACATTACAACACCTCCAATTTATTTTTTGTTTTATCTTTTTTTGAGATAGTCTTACTATGTCACCCTCAGTAGAGAGCCAAGGCGTCATAGCTCATAGCAACCTCTAACTCTTGGGCTCAAGCAAATCTTCTTGCCTCAGCCTCCTGAGTAGCTAGGAATACAGGTGCCTGCCACAATACCCATCTATTTTTAGACAGGGTCTCACTCTTGCTCAGGCTGGTCTCAATTCATGAGCTCAAGCAATCCATCTACCTTGGCCTCCTAGAGTGCTAGGGTTACAGGCATGAGCCACTGTTCCTGGCCCTAACACCACCAATTTAAACACAGACAAATCCTTACAAGATTGTAAGTCCCTAGAGGTCAAGCATCAGATCTGATGTTTCTTCTGCAATGCCTAGTGAACACAGAAATTTGCATAAACACTACATAACTTATAACCATCATATAGCCTGCCAACACTTATATAAACATTTATTCTATACCCACACCTATACATATTTATATGAACAAAGACAGAACAATCAATAAGTATGTGTAAATATAAATCCTAGTTCATAAACCTCCCCAGCTATATCATGCATTCTCATCATGCAGACCTCACACAAGAACATGCCCCTTATTAACTACCCCATCCCCTCAAGAGATACAACTAAACCCCTGGACAGGCTCCCTTCCCGAGTCTGCATCAAACAGCACTCCAGTCCTCTATAGTACTGCATCTCTCCTTTTCATAAAGACTACACCCCACCTTCCTGTTACCCTTTGCCTTCTTTACCAGCTTTAAACATGCGGACCCCCGAGCGGTTTTTCCCCTGCTTTGAGTCAGTTAGGGACATCAGCATGGTTGCAGGGAGCAGGGTGATGAAAGGTTTGTCCAGGGACCAGGAAGAACGGCCCACATCAATTTGTAGGAAAGCACAGCCACAGTTACCTGGGGACAAAAGGTTGAGAGAAGCATAAGAATGATGGGATGACTGCAAAAGAGAGAATAGGGTTGAAGAGGAAACTTGTCTACTCTAGAGTTAGCTGGAAGCCAGAAAGGTCTAGCAACATGTGTGGTCCCTCAAGGAGCCAGTAACTGAAATGGGATGCGATGCCAGGCCACTAAATGACGATGTCATGTGTTTACTGTGTTCTTCCTAGCTGGAGACCTTCTCCTAACTGAAGGGACCTGAGCTTCTCTGACCTCTGGCCCAGGTAGGCAGTGCTAAATTCTGTCTTTTAAATCCTTGCAAGGAAGCCCAACATCTCTGTACTGACAAAGCTGAAACTAGTGGTCTTTAACAGTTCTCTATTCCAGAGAATTCGAAGGACAACCTTCTCAATTCATGAACTCCTATGCAGCTTTCCCAAATTATCCTTGCACAGTTCATCCCTCCAGCATTCTCCTGACACTAATATTTAAAGGTATACACAGATTCTATTTGTTGGCAACTATTATTACGTCAATATCCTAAGGCTTTACCCAGATCACTCAGATCAAAGCAGGGCAGGTATGTTGCATAATTTAAGGAGCACCATTCACATTATATTCCATGTGAATGGAGCCCTTGGAGTTCTCCACACAAGGACAAGGGCCACATTTCCCATCACACTCAGGTAGGACTTGTCTTACGAAGACTGCTCAACCAGAATGAAGAGAGACATCAGGGGAGTGGTGAGAGGGTGTGTCTTCCCCCAGAGGTTCCTAGGCCCCAAAGAACTCACCCACATCAATGTAGCCAATGGGCACTGCCCTCTCCAGCTGTAACTCCACTTTCAGTTGCCCACTCTTATCCTGGGGGGAGCTGAGCCAAGGTCTCCTCTGACTGTTTGTGTTCAGCAAATTCTCTACAGGATACTTGGGATCCTAAGTCAGAGTAGAAGAAAATCAGGACTCTCACTGAGTCCAAGGGAAAAAGGATGCCAAACAATGAGGGATCCCTACAGTTCCAAACCTTTCCAGGTATCCTAACATGATAGGAAATGAACTAACTTGGAGTCCATAGGAATATGGCTATCATGGGCTAAGTGGTTAATAGATACTATTTTCCTCTACCTCATTTACCAGACTACTTCACTTAATTCTCCTAACAACTCTTAAGTGGTTTCTAGTATTATTTCTTAGTTAACAAATCAATAAATTAACACTTAGAGAAGTTCAGAAACTTATCAAAGGCCACAGGCCCAAAAACCAACTGAAGCAGAGTTCCTAGGTTTCTAAAGCCAGAATTCTTAACCACTACACTGTACTATTTCTTTTATTTACATGATGTTTTCAAAGACATTTATTTATCTCCATAGTTATCCTGTGAGATAAGGCAAAGATGTGTTTTTATGAACCTGTCATTGTGAACATAGCAGTTTTTATTTTAAGTTTACAAGTGATGTGTAGACATAAAGTGATTATTAAAAGTTAACAATAGTGGCTCGGCGCCGGTGGCTCAAGCGGCTAAGGCGCCAGCCACATACACCTAAGGTGGCGGGTTCGAATCCCCAGCCCGGGCCCGCCAAACAACAATGACGGCTGCAACC